ATGCGGGGCTGAGCACCACGCGTGGTTCTCATGACGCTGCTGACCATGGCCGAGCCTCCGCCACCCTGCGTCCACAAAATGCCTCGTGCCTCCCCTTCGGTGCTCCCGAAGGCCCCGGCATCACCTTACCTCTCGCCTGGCAGATCCATGCTGGCCGCGTCTGACGGGCTGAGTCTGCCAAAATATTGACTGGCCCAACGGATTTGCCCAGTTGGCTCCCGTTCCAACTGTCCCCCCGATTTCCTCCCCCTCCGTCAGCGCAGCGAGCCTGCAGTCGCTATCGGAGGAATGACACGGATGGTGGTGGTGCAGTCATCTCGTATCAGGAGCACGAGTTCCGTCGAGCTCGGTTTGCTGCCATTCAATCACTTGTCACTGAGCGGGCACCAAGCGGTCACACGTCAGGAACGGGTACGGCTTTTCCAAACGGGAGCAAATGCCCCCTGCACGGTGGCAGGGAGGGAGCGGGCATGTCGTGCTGCACCTCCGTCAATAAGCACCCTGGATCAAAGTGGCCACGGTTGGAGGCCCCATTGGGTTTGGTTTTTTTTTAAAAAAAAGTTTTAAAAAAGGCAATAAATTACAGCAGATGAAGCGCCTTCCTCTGAGCCCTGCACATTAACTCTGACTGACTCGGACCCCTTCCAGGGGCTCTGCTGCCCGAGGTACCAGGCTGAACCACAACCCAGCGGTGCCCCTGCGCCATGGCTGCGCTGCGGCCCTCGTTAGCGCTTCGTTAGCGCCGGCGCTGGGGGCAGCCGGGCTGGCTGCCGTGCCCCAGCTGCTCCAGATGTTGTGGGAGCAGGCAGGCTGCGCCAACGGGCTCCAGCCACGTGTGCGTGCAGCCGCAGCGCTGCTCGAAACGTCTCCCGGGGTGAGCCAGCACGGGCCGGAGAGGCTGGCAAGGTGTCACCGTGCTCCGAAAGGCTCCGCCGCGGAAGCACTGCGGAAGCAGAGAGGAATTACGTTCGGGCTGAGGCTGGGGCTGCAGTTGCCACGTCGCAGAGCTGTGTGTCTGGATCAGCATCCCCACATGCTTTGCTGCCCCAAAATGCTGCTGCGCTACGGGGCAAATTTTCAGGTCTTTGGGTCCTTCCCCTGGCACGCCAAGCCAGCGGCACTCTGCCCGGCTCCTGCGGGCGCCTCCTAGACCCAGTGACCACGGCTTTGGGCGGATGCTGCCCCTGCCCCGTCCCCCCGCTGCCTGCCCGTGGCTCCCCAGCCTGAGGGGGAGCACCCCGCCAGACCCCCGCACCGCACCCCCCCCCAAGGGCTTGCCAAGGGGTGGGGGTGGGGTGGTGGGAGAGGCCATCGGGCCCCTAGAGCATCCCAGGGCTTCTGATTCTGTTTTTCCAGCTATTAAGGAAAGCAAGAGAGGGAGCTGCAGTTCTCAGCTGACCAAGCACCGCTTCCCAAGGAAGGTAAAAAACCAGACCAAGATTCTTGAAGGTCTCAGCCAGCCTCCACACTTAGCTGGAACCCGAGCCCACAGCCAGTGCACCAAGCATCTCGTCCCTGCACTTGCCCAAAAAGCCTGGGAACTGTATTTTAACCGTCACCGAGAGTGTAAGCCGAATGCTAAAAACTCTTACAAGCAGACATACGATAAAAGGAGAAAAAAAAATCTGCCTTTTACTAAAGCAGGCCCGGGGCCCGGGGGGCCCCCGCAGCCATGTGAGCGCAGAAGGGTCGATCCTCACGCCCGGGCGCCGAGGGCTCGGCCGGGCGATTCCCTGGAGGAGACGGGAATGGTGACGGCGAATGGCCGGGCCATGAAACGCTGCTGCCTCTCCTGCTAACGCTCTCCTCACCCTGGGGGAGGA